CGTGTGCTCTTCCGATCTAAAAGAAAATGTCGCAACCTTTTAGTGAGCGAGTACACATATATAAAATATACACATATATATATTAAAATACACACTTATGTCGAGATACAGGACATAAAAAATACTATAAAGACATCAGATTTTTTTTAAATCTAAAGACAGCTTTAACCAAGTATTGGATTCTTCATATGATAACATACTATCTAGGTATGCTAACGTGTTTTTCACAGTAAAGCCATTACGTTACGTCTTCGTAAGATGTAATATCTTCTTCTCTTCTTCTTCGTGTAATTGTATTAGCAATTATCTCTTCTGTCCTATATTCATTCCGTACGATGTGAATTGAGTAGAAAATAGTGATGCAGAAGAAAATGCTTATAGAAACTCTGACATTTTCGACTATAGTAGATATAGATACGCGACCTCAATTTTTCTAAATGTTTCAATCGATGGCTCGAATTCGCTCCGGGGAGAACGTGAATAATTATACGATAACGGTATTTCACATGAAATCCGACACACGTGGAACAGAAACGGAGGAGAAATTTAATTTCGAGCATGTTATCTTATAATATCAAAGGTTGTTCCATTAATCTTTCCAAACGGTTTTAATCGATGAATTTAATGGAAAGACAATTCGAGCTAACCATATTCTATATGACATCTGACATATATAAAAAAGTAATAAAGATAGTTTAATTTAAAGTACCTTATAATGTCGTAGGTTATCCACCACGCAAGCCAACAGGGCATCACGTCCCACGCTTACTGTCACGTTTTGGATCTCCTCGGCGAATCGGGGCAATTCGGAGTCTGCAACAATAATGAAGATACTTCAGAATAAAGATAAAATAAATCATTAAAATAACTTAACAATTAGGACAAAATATTTATTTTGTTTATTGCATTCGTTTCTATTTTTCTGATATTTCAACGTTATTACACCTAAACGTGTACAGTTATAAATTGAGAGTGCTCAAGATGCTCTGTACTCGCAAGAAATATGGAGATTTCCCCATAGAGGAAATTCAATTTAAGATCTCAAAGTTGCAACGAGACCGTCTGAGTTAACTAAGTCTGATTAGTAATTTGTTGTCCTTTTCGAAATTGCATCCGGTGATATAGATGGAGATAGAAAATATTGTAACCTGGAGAGCCAACGTAATCTTTATTACATTAATATAACCGGCATCTATTTATCATAATCTGTTAAATTACTATACTATTGTCCCAGCCATTACGAGTCATTTTTCTCTAAAACAGACTATTGCGTAAAATAATTAAAAAATAAGCTCCTACTATTCATTTATATTTTTTACGAGTTACTTTGCGCAGAAACAATTAATACTCATTGCTGAGTAATTGTGTAATTGTGAAATGAAATAATAGTTATGAAAGATGTGACACATTATTAGAGTAAATAAATAACCGTTTTCCCCTTCAAAGTTGTTTTTCATAAAGTTAAAATTATAGAATTATTATTATTGTTTTATGAATCAACCGTTTTTCTAAATCATGCAAATTTCGAAACTTTCCTAAAGATATTCACATAAATGATTTTAAATTAATCCCAACTTGTTGTTTGTCTCATGTCACTCAATTTTATCGAGTAAAAGCAAGGAATACGAAAATATTTAAGTTTTCAAATGCAGGGAATGAAATAACATCGACGATTACTCGCTTCGGCATCATTCATGTTAATAAATGTTCCTTTCTGCGTGCCATGCATCTGATCAAGATAAACCTGTCGCGAGCTAAGCACTTGATTAATCACTTCGACTATTATTCACTTACAAACGTTTGATGTTGGCACGCTTGCACGCATGTCTAGACAATGCATCGCGTCCGACCTGATTGCAGAGTTATTATCGTTAAAGCAGTATAACGAGTTCAGGATTCAGGCTGGTCTCCCTTAAAAGCTTTTACCTTCGTTAATGTCTTTACGGCGTTCCGAGCATCTGAATTATTTATGGGCACAAAGAACTCGCGGAGAACGGGAAACAGAAAGATGGAAGGAAGGCAGCAGTGACGGGGAAGTGGAAAATATCGTTGAGGGAAAAGAGCGAAAGACAGTACAGAGAGAGACAAGCTTCGAGATAAGTTTGAGTTACTTTTAGGTCTTTTAAGCGCGACAGCTCGGATACAGGACAGTGTTAATTATGCCCCCAAGTGCTTTATTATAAAACACTTCGCAGTGTTAATTGTCGCGCCTACGACGGCGGAGAATGAGAGAAAAAAAAACGAATAACGCGCTTGAAGCAACTTGAAATTCATTGCGATGGTAAAATGTCAGAGTAAATGGTTTTGTAGGTCCAACTTTCCCCAAGCGTTGAGATGAGAGTTTTTATATTGTGCATCGAGAAGATGAGACTGAAAATTCTTTTAATGTGGCCTAAAAAATTCTTACGTCTTGCATAATCGTTATCGAAAAATGCGCCATCCCATGGTTGATTCAATGAACTTTCAAGCTTTCAAATTTCGCTTTAAATTTCTTGAAGGCTATATACTCCCGAAGTTCCGGTCTGGGTAAGCACGCTCGTTGTCTCAACTTGATTGGTGGTACAGCGTGATACAATGTGGCGCGTTAAATTTTATGCGCGCATCAACGAGACATGCTACTGTCATAATGGCCGTCAGAGTATTCAACGTGTTAATGATAATGGGAGTGAGAATCGAGTGAAACTGCTGGAATTCGCAGGCACGTCCTCGGAAAGTCGTTATCAAACTGATTAACAAGCTTTGATTAAGGTAAGCCCATGTGTCGGTATGGCACGGAGTGCTTAATAACATGACTCGGCTCCGCTCGAAAGACACAATACATTACATACTAGATATACCGTGAATTTCGTGCATAACAGTCCGCAGTTAATGAATATGAATTTCTGCCATCGCACGTACCTGCGCGAACAGTTTTGGAATAGGTATTTAACGTAGAGCTCTCGGTAGTCGCGTATTATCTAAACGGAGATAACAATAACCATGAAATGTGTACAGGAGAGCTATTTACTATATTGTCTGATCTTAAAATACTTGTCACCTTAATCACCATGTAAATCTGAAACGCGGAACGTTTAGCAAGGCGAATTGCGTATTTATCTTGCTAAGAATTATATGAGATTAAATTTGAATACTCTTAAGTGCGCGCGCACGCGCGCACGTGTTTTTAAGAGATGTCGGAGAATATACCAACAAATTGTATAGAATTCGGAATCCTATCAGTGACAGCTGCGACAAAGAGAGAACGTTTTAATCTGCGAACGTTTACGTCCCATCTCGTTCGACATTAACGTACATACCGCCCGCGCCAGGGAAATCGCGTCTTTGTATCTCGAGAGTTCTGACTCAAAGACGGCCTTATTTTCTCGTTAAAGAACGATTTAACGAGAAACGAAATTAAGGGTCACGCTTCTTGCCTCAGAGGCAACCTGCCCCTACGTCTGTCTATCCACGTTTCCACCGGCGCACTTCGGTGTTTTCTTAGCACACTTCATCACCTTTAACCGCGCCGGAAACCGCAATAGCGTTTGGTAGACTTCGGTGCCAAAGGTGATTCAATGGTTTCTCATTAAGTTCCCGCCTCACTTTGTCTACCTCCTCGCTTTTTGTTGCCATATTGCCGCCGCTTATACAATAATGATTACTCCCTTCGACACAATTAGAAAGAAACCACGGGCTGTAGAACTCTTTCATATTACATTCTGCTCGCAATAAATTAGAAATATTAAAACAAATTTTTCTTGCATTACACCGAATATAATTTCTGAACAGCATAATTAAAGTGCCTAAAGCATATAGTTATCGCATTGTAACGAGTTACAATGAAATGCTCATATCGTAATATGACCCATAACTGAGTTTACGGTAGAACTTTTTAAACTTTTAACATTTTGAAATTTCAAATAAAACAATTTCAGAAGACAAGTGAAACGTTAATAAAAATATTGCTTCGATTATATAAACATATTCTCAAAAACACGTGTAAGTTTAAAAATGCAGATACAGCGGACTCAGAATTAATCACAGTAACACAGTTTACGTGAAATAATGCCGCGTACTGATTTGCGATTTGTTATTCTCTATCGTATATTTTTATCCCGTGGCATATCGTACGGCCCGACGAGTGCAAAACGAATATTCCGTTATGTATATACGTTATACCGCAGTTTCTATCATGGGATACGATTGCGCGGATAGCTACGGTAACTTTTATTGTGCAAACTATCATAAATTCCCGCGAAATTTCATTTCCAAACTGCGCCCCGCTTTTCGACTGCCGGCTTGTATCTGCATTTTGCAGCGAACTGCGGCAAGGGCGGGCGCCAGGCGAATCGGGCGAGACTATTTCGTTCAAGGCGAGACGGGAAGAAGTTAACAGTTGGACCGGCTATTTCCGCTAGGGTATTTCGATCAAGCAAGATCTTACGCGAGATAACATTGCCGATTGTTCTATGCGCTATTGCGGACGTTTGTCAGGGCGGAAGAAACGGGGCAGTGACGGGGGGGAGGGGGAGGGAGAGAAGTTTTCCCCCTCGTCTGTTGAAAACGCGCGATATTCGAGAAACGGTTAAAGCTGCATGACGTCCATACGAACCCCTACCCCGGTGGAGAGCTCTTCAATCGGGAATAATAAACTTTTACTGCAAACTATTTCAATGAAATTCACGCTGAATGTAGGTTTTCAGCGACGAGAGACGCGACGACAGAACGAAACTATAACTATCTTCGGTTTGATTGCGATCTCATCACGATAAAACAATGTAGCAGTCTTCGAAACAATCATTATTAGAATATATATTACGTGTTAAGATGAAAACTATGTGTACACATATATAGTAGTATACGATATATCTCTCTCTTCTCAGCCACATGCCATAAATTATATGAAGTAAAAGTATTTAAAAGAAAAAAATACTCGCATATAAAATATTAACTTTACGCTGCAGCAATGTTTGAATAGACGAGTGTAAATATTCGCACCGATACAGCCAGTCGATTTGCACGCTTCGACAAGAGCCTTTCAGATAAGAAAATCTTCGCCGATCGAATAGTTCGAACATGAAACTCGTAGGGATTTACCTGAAATGAAGTTAGAGTTTATTGGTTTACTGAAGTAAACGGAAAAGGACTTGTGCGAAACGTGCTCAATAATCTGTGCCACGAGATTATCCGAGTGCTGGCATCGTTTCTTTCGACGTGCTTCTACCTTCGCAGCTTCGCGCGGAAATCACGATGGAATTTTAACAAGTTGCAGCGGCGCCCGTGCTCGGGTAGCTCGCTCGGAAAACGCACAAAGACTTATGAAAGTCATGAGTTTCCTCTTCAGAGCGAGCATTGTTGTTCTTCCGGCTCTTTCCATGACAAGTATTATATACCAAGCGGTAAACACGACGTGAACATTCCTATATTAAACACAGAGATCTTTACACCCAGATCACCTTAACGAACTCACGCTCGAAAAATTATAAGATGGGGAATAATTACTATTTAATCATCAATACCGAGTTATATCACATAATTTCAAAGTTCTTCGAATTTCTTTGCTTTTTCTCGGATAATAAACTTCCCTTTTCACTGACATTTGTAAGCTAAAATACCGACTGTAATTACAATGTTTCAAAAGAGAGGATAAAAATTGTGTAAACAAAGAGAAGATAAAGAGACTGGTGTATATAAGAAGAAAAACAACGTCATTAAATTTTGCCATCACATCTCTTAGCATGTAATCTAATGAAGAAGAGAGGGGCGGCGAGGGACTCGCGTTGAAATATTAAAAATTCTATAAATTAAGGGATTCTTTATCCCGTCTCTATTTA